TTTACATTCTGTGATGCGCGAGCTGATGACGTCAAGACGAGTCAACTTTTTTTTTCTCTCAACTTTGTGTGGAAAAATGCGGCCTTTTGATAAATATGCGGCCTTTTAAAAATCTGCGCCATTTTGCTGACTATGCGGTAAATTCTGCGATCGCAGAATCGCATTTTTCTGGAGGGTCTAGCTTATTGTAGTTGTAAGTCCACTGCCTTGCGCCCTTCAGCACCATCCTTGATGGAGCTTATGTGTGGGCTGGACCTGTATTTTTCAGGAAAGGAGTGAGCAGACGGTAGAGTTGTCAATTCTTGTTCTGTTTTCTGTGACTATCTGCCTCACCCTCTCAGACTTTCAGTTGCGCACGCTACTAAAGAGACGTGTTACCATGGAAACCAAACAATGGTGTAGCTGTATTAAAGTCCGACCGGAAACAGTCCTGAGTAAATCTGATTTAGTCAGAAATCGGGAGAAATGTGGGAGAAATATGACCCCGGGAGAGGGCAATGAAATCGGGAGTCTCCCGCGAAAATCGGGAGGGTTGACGAGTATGTCCTGCTCTCATGCAGTGTTAACGCTGCAGCCACTAGTGTTGCCAGTTTTTGCGGAAGGAATAAGCAACCAGGTCTATGAAAACAAGCGCAAAAGAACATGAGCACTTTAAACCTATATATGTCGGGTCGGCTATTTGAAAATAAATATCTACAAGCTCACAACTGCAACAACCATTATTACAAGCAACTTTACAGAAAGATAAGCCCAATGTGGCTTATAATAAGTATACCTGGCAACACTCACTGACTGCAGCACGTGAGGGCAGGAGCCGGCAGTATGTTTACAGAAGCGTTAGCATTAGCACAGATTAGCAAAGAGTGACGAGAGCGACTAGTAGTACAAGAAAAACAGAAATGAGAACAGAAATGAGTGACGAGGAGGTCGAGGACAATGTTTTTGCTACAAGAAACTGAGACTTGGATTTAAGTCAAGCACTTTGATGTTGATGGTGTCTGTTTAAAGCCACAATAGTTGGCTCCAGGTGCCACATTTTGAATGTAGTAAGGTTTGTTCAGTATTCAGCAACTACAGAACTACTAAAGACAAAGTTATGTTTTTGTTACAAGAGAGACAAATGTTGTCTGTTTAAATTCATTGTACTCACGTGACGTCTAAGAGTAAGAGTGCAATAAATATTTTCATTGAAACGATGATAATCGTGTGAGAATCGTGATCTCAATTCTTATGGAGGAAAATCGGGATTCACATTTGAGCAAGAATCGTGCAGCACTACGGTGCAGTCAAATGGTCACAAATCGATGCCTAAAAAGCATTTGAAAATACACATGGGTTTTATTTCATGTTAGTAAAAAGGCTACAGTTTGCTGTTTCTGTATGTTTTTGTTTTTCACATGCCTCTTACCTTAAGAGAGTAACTTGCCTACCCCTATATCAATTCTCAACAGATGTCTCAGATGTTAGACACTATTCTCTATAAAAAGTGGATAGTGTTGCTTCTATGTCTATGTTTCGACTGTTAATCTATTTCTTTTAGATCCCTAATTCCTTCCTTTTTTAACTTCTGTGCTCACTTTCTAACTAATACCCATAAGGAAACAATAACTTATGTGGTGCTTCTTAATCTTTCCTTTATCACCTTTTCAATATGATCTGTATCTTGCACCAACTTTTAATCTCTTAAGAATATTCATGTAAAAGGAACGAATGTTGAGGACTAGAGCGTCTGTGTGTTTTTGGCCTTGTTAATTAATTAATCACAGTTAATTAAGTCTAATTCACATCATGCTGTGGCATATGCACGACAGTTTTGGGCATAAGGGTATTTTCATGTTTTGTCTTTGATTGATGATTAAATGAATTCCAGTTTTATAGGTCAACTCGACTCTTTAGCTCTTCACCTTTCAAGCTTTACCCTTACATTTCTGTTATCACATAGATTCCTCAATGTGTTCAAGGTCATGGTCTACCTTCCATTCATTTCTATTCAAATGAACTGCTGATGGAGAGGGATTTCCCACGGAGTTCCCTCCCCTCACTGCTTAAATATTCCCTGCCTGGTGATGACTCAATCAGTGTTTTTGTGTGTGTGTGTGTGTGTGTGTGTGTGTGTGTGTGTGTGTGTGTGTGTGTGTGTGTGTGTGTGTGTGTGTGTGTGTGTGTGTGAGAATATCTGCATGCCTGTGAGACGAGGCAGCACTATCAAGCACACAGCGAGAGAAAAGAGCGTCCCTGATTGCGAGAACACAGATTCCTCTTTTCTCCGACTGACAGATGGAGGAGAAACCAAGTCAATCAGATAGGTTTACTTTTCAGTACTCCGCTGTGCCAGACAGAACGAGCGGGATGAGACAACATGAAAAGGCAAAGGCAGGGGAAGAAAGAAACAGCAAAATACTGTAGCATGGGAGACAGACAGACAGAGACAGACAGACAGACACAAAATGTTCTACATTATGTGAAAAAGTAAGAGGGATGGGTGAAAGGAGAGACAGATTAAAGGTAACAAAAGGAAATGGGGAAAGTGATAGGAAAATATCTGTATGTGTGGGAGGCTGGGCGGGCGGGGGGGGTGATACAACAAAGAAGGAGACACTGTGGTGTAGACAGTCACATCTGTGGTGGTATTAGCTGAGCTGTGCCTATGCAAACTGCTCTGAGTCATCTACGAAATCTGCTTTATGAATCAAAGAAAAATCAGAAAAGTGGCACACAACTGAATCATGCACATACCATAACGCCTGCATGAGACATGTATAGAATAGCAAACAGTAGCCTACCATAGACATTCCTCACAGATGTTGACAAAGCAATCTCCCAGCTTGATTTACAGAAAGTAGTTTTTATTAAGATTTGCTTTGCTTTCTCATTTTTATTGAGATTCAGGATATGCATTGAATCTAGTAACATGACATGATTAATATGAATGAACTAAAGTGTGTTTGTACAGCGAAAAGTATTTAAAAGGTCAAAAATGCATGTGTTGAGGAGCATTCATGATAACAATAGAAAGACCTACAATTCAACTTTTGCATACACCGTGGGATCAGGTATTGATCTGAAGATAAATCTTTTTTTTTCTTTATAATTACTATAAATATAGTTTTTATTTGTATTACATTATGATTTATTTATTTTAAAAAGAACAATTGTGGAAAGCTTTACATTTCCTTTTTATCCTGTTAATGTTAATTAAATAATCACTTCAACGTCAGCCTCATGCAGTGCCGTGTGCATCATCAGTCTGGTCATCAGGCTTGGAGTTTGCTCAGTTGTCATATAATTCAATTGCAACCATTTCCATTTTTCTGCAGCATGTTTATTATTTTCTGTCTGTGTTTGCACAAAAGCTGAGATTGAAATCCCAAACTTGTCAAAAACAAACTTCTGTGTGGAGTGATCAAGAGTTCCCAAACAGCTACTAAAGGGACCTTGTAATGAAACCATTTCATCAACATGTTTCAAAATCGGGAATGAGCTTTCAATCTCAATCCACAGTTTTGTGAAAGCTTGCAGTGCTGATACGGTATAACAAACTGATTTCCCTTGATTTGTGTCAGAGCAGCTTTACAAACACAAATGCTCCCCAGCTTGATTTAAAAATAAAATAGGAACATGAAGCATAAAAGTGGAGCAAACTTTGCAATATCCGTGCAAGGGCACATGGCACCATCCCACATCACAGCAAGCATGTATCTGCTGATGCCGAGACGTGCTCATTATTTTGACTTCATTTTGTTCACTGGCCAGCAGGCTTATCAATGAGGCACAAACCCAACCATTCCACCCCACGGCTCGCTGCTGGGCTCAGTGTAATCGAAGGAGACAGGGTTAAGGAGTCACTATCTGACAGCTATGAAAGTTTAATGCGTCTCAGCGTTAAATAATAACTGGGTTTTTTGTGTGACTGATTGCTTTGTTTAATCACCTTTTAATGACAATGGGAAAGTAAAAAAGTTATACATCCATTAATTCAGCCATCCCCTTCATCTATCCATGGGTCCATCTATGCCAATTTAAATGTGACTTCTTCAGAAATAGCCACAGAGAACTGCCATTCATTTATGGAAATACACAGGCAACCTCCAACATGGTAATCACTCTCTGTGCACTCTCTAATGGCTTTCTGGGCTTCTCTACTTGCCTTGGTTCTAAAATGTAATTGCTAAATGGCTCAGGAAGTCACCAAACCTAGGTTTTATAGTATTGTGTTTTACTTTCTGACTTGGCATCCCCGAGCTTACCTGTCTTTTTGTAGAACGTGATCTCATCTTTAAACTCCTTTCGCTCCTCCAGGGCTTCGTCGATGCCGAGGATGATGCTTTCACTGGTCTCTGGCCCATATAGGAACTTACAGGCACAACTCTTCTGCATGACCTCGGCCCGGGAGAAGCCTGTAAGCTCACAGAAGCCATCGGAGCAGTAGACGATAGGAAAGCCTTTGGAAACCTGTGCATTGGCCAGGATGAAGTTGCTGTCTGCAGGAGAAAAGCAAAGAAGACGTGAGGTGAGATGACGAAAAAGACCTCGGGTAATTACTTTATTCTTGAGGTTTTTTGTGGTGTTCTTCTGGTTTTTCCTGCTTATCCACTTTTAGACAAACCCATGGATATATGTTGTGTCCCTGAGTTTAAATGAATAATGAGCAGTGAGGATACACACTGTTAAACTTCCCTATTTCAAATATATTCACACTGAATGCAGACAGTGACATAAAAAAACATTGAGTGTGTTTTTCTGACTCAAGGCAAGAAGGAAAAATTCTCCCAGCAGACCAACTATGGTTTTAAACTCTTCATTATTCTGCATCTTGAAGAGTCCCTAGGGGCCCAAATAAGTCAACCATGACTCTATAGCACTGCAAATATCTGGAAAAGCTAAATAAGAATATGATTAATTAACACTGGTAATAGTAAACATTACCAAGATATGTCGTGTGTTTAGACTTCAAGCATGAAAACTGCTATAAGTTTGTTTTGGACACTTGGGAGCAGCACACACATCGTCACTTAAATCATGATCACATTTGAGCTAATAGTTGCATATTTCACATCTAACAGAGATGGAGCAACATCAACATGTATTAGTAGTTGTATATCTGATCACCCGGTAAATGCAAGTCCGCTATTCACTTTCTTTTAGCTCTGTTTTGTTCTCCACCAAGCCCTGAGAAAAAGATATGGCTCTTTCGCGACTGTGGATGTGTTGTAGTACGGTGGTCTTTCAATCAGTGGTCAACATGTTGATGTATCCTTGGGCTTATCCCCAAGTTGCTCCCAATGGCATGGTCAACAGTGTGTGAATAACCCTGAACAGGTGGCATCTTTATGGCAACCACTGCCTCCATATGAAATGGGTGAACGCTGACTTCTTTATGTAAAAAGCGCCTTGAGGAGTCTTAAGACTGGATAAAGCACTATATAAATACAGTCCATTTTCCATTTTCCTTTTACAATTTAAACACTCGCTGACTTTGCCTCTCTTTATAAGAGCGGCAGAAAGTTCACAGTGGGTTCCTGTCACAATATGACTAGAGCTGTGAGAGTGAACTGAATCACAGACTGCAGGCAATATAACTAAATACAGTGAGCTGAAAGATGACAGACACCGTATACAATTATTTTTTAATAGCATATATTAACAGTTTTTTTTGTTGGATATGATGACTGCTTGTACCGTCAACACTCTGGTTGTTAGACCACTGCTCTAAGCTCCCATCACCTACTTTTGAAACTCCAGATAATACAAATGAAAGCCAAATCAAATGGTCAAGGGGTGACTCTCTGGCTGTTTCACTAAATCGCTCTCACTGGCCACTGGCGATAAAAATGTGAGTTTTAACACACTAACACAAAGGCTGATGGGATCCTCAGCTCAGCCAGATAAAGACCAGTGGCTGCAACATGAAGGCCATTTACCTCAATAAATGGCTGATTTATCTGCAAGCTGAAATGCAATGGAACCCTACTCTTGAAACTCAGTCCCTTGTGTCGAGAAACTCACCTCAAATTCAAAATATTCTCACAGATAAAGAGCAGTTAAAGAGAGATATGGGTAAGGAAAAGAGTGAGAGGAAAGCAGGGGAGATGACAGTGAAAACAGAATATGGTGCTGAAGTCGATCACAATTAATGAGACTGTGTGTTTGTGTGGAGTTCTAAATACCCAGTTGAAGTGGACCAGCTGTTCATACCTGAATCCATCTTTTATGGCACACAAACACACCCATCCACACAAACAAACACCCCCGTGCCAATGAAGCACAGAATGATGCTGAGCAGTGCTAATAGACAGCTATGTTGCAGGTTGCCCATAATACCACATAGCGACTCTTATAGTTTTGCAAATTCTGTAATCTGACTGTATTTGTCTGTGTATTTTCTCAAACTAGCCCTTAAAGGTCCCGTGTCATGGCCATTTCTACTGATCATATTTCCATTGTTGAGGTCTACTAGAATAGATTTATATTGTGCAATTTTCCAAACTCACATTAGTTTCTCATACAGCATCTCTGTAGATGGGTGCTGAGGGGGCTGCAGCACCCCCATCCGNGTTTAGGTGAGAGGAAAGTTTGACATAAGAACAAATAATTATTGTTGAAACAAAATGACGGTATATCATAAATATGGGCAACATGAAATAAGAGTATAAAAAAATATTGATATTTACTAGTATATTTCTACACGGAAATGGAGTCACCAACAGTTCTTTTTCGAAGAATATAAGCATCGTATCGATGCGATTGTGTCTCGATTATTGTTGTTTTCCATAACTGACATACTATTATTATTACTTAGAGAATATAAATACATATCGCGAAATAGTTAGCTTGAGTTTCGCGCGAAATGTTTATGTGTAATGTATATGGTCTAGTATGTAGTACATTACCAGTAGATGACACCTGTTATGGGTGTCTCGTTTCAAAGTTCACTTCACAGAACGGGGTTACCTGTGTTCCGAATGTCTACGCGTCGGCCGCCGCCCAAAAGTGGGGGACTAGTTGCTGACGCGTGTCCGGCGGTAGGAAGTGTGGAGTTCAGTAGCTCCGCGAAAAGTGTTCATGTGTAACTATAATATGTACCAGACACCTGTTATGGGTGTCGCTCGTTTGAGCCACTCACAGAACGGGTTCCTGTGTTGCCGGACTGCGTCACCTTCGCCCTCGCCCAAAGCTTGTACCTCAAGCGGGTTGTGAGGGGGAACTAGACTACTAGTTTGCGTGTCTGTGACGCGGTGGGCGGCAGGCAATACTAGTCATACTGTCTACTTGTCTAGCGGTGACTCCCGAAGAGTGATTTCTGTGTGGTTCGTTTTTGACGCCGTGCACATGCCGAGGATTTCCGGGTCTATGTGGCGGGGCTTTAGCCGTTATTACCCTCAGGCCGGTTTGTACTCGCACCGTGCGGGCGATTTCTAAGCCTCACCACACGGCGGGCGCGTGGCAGCCCGAAAACGGACGGCTGGACTTGCGGAAAAGACGGCTAAGTTGGACAACTAGCCGGGCAGCCCTTGTGGTGGGCCTTCAGGCCTGTTTTCCTATTGTTGACTAAACCGACAAGTCCGATCGCTTAGTCACCCGGTAGACCTCTTCCAATCAACAAACAAATATAGTGCCTCAGACAAAAGAGGAGACAGAAGCCAACAAGGCCAACAACGGTGAGAAAACTTACTACTTATGTGTGATGGGCGCGGACCGACCATTCCTCTCCAAGTAACGGTGAGTGCGTATGCGTCAAGTATGCACGAGCCGAGCCTAAACGCCACACAAGGTCACTCAGCCGCTGCGTTGTCAGCACCAGGCCGCAGGCCGCTGAAGAGGTCCACCCCTGACCGGTCCGACATAGACTCGGAAATACCATGGAATTCACGGCCTCGCCCGCAAAGACCTCGAGAGCCATTCGTGATGTGGCAGTCTGCTCTGTATATGGGGGCTCAACTACTGTGGCAAACGAGCCGAGCACAACACAAGTTCCTGGGACTGGAACCGGTCCTTTTTGTCAAGGAGTGAACAATTTAATAAAACGCCAGATCTCAAAGGCCGTAAAAAAGAAAAACACGCACACAAATATTTAATGAGCTCCGGCATGGTTTACCAGAGCGCCCAGGGCATATGCCGGGCCTCAGCATCCAGGGGTGGGACTAAACACCTACTCGTGTTAATATGCCATAAAGAAAAAGAAATCTGCTTACAGTTCTGTTTCATATGGGTGTTGAGAGATGTATCCATAGATCTCCTAATGTTGCTCTCAAAGTGCACCAGATTGATGCTTTTAATTTCAACATTTAAAAAAAATCTTCCCGGGGAGGCATGCACCCGGACCCCCTACGAGGAGATTAGGTCCCCCCACCCACTTAAATCATGTCCACATGGATAGGAAACTAAATACATTTGCACACATCTTGTGTCCATATCTTTCCGTTTTGGTGGTCATGCCACAACCGTGCATGCGCGAGTCATGGTAAGATATCTGGATTAAGAGGTTGCTTTTTCTTTGCACAGCATGAAAGTAAGGCGTAGTTAATGGGCTGTGATTTTAGTATTTTTAAGCAGAGGTCAATAATTTGTACGGCCCTCGGAGGATGTTGAAAAATTTGAAATGGCCCTTGAGAGGAAAAAGGTTACCCACCCCTGCACTAAATGCATCCACACTGGTTAGACAAGAGTCGTCCAGATACCTAAGCCGAACACATTTTACCAACCGCAGAATTCTATAATACAATCTAAATGGAAAATATTTTCTCATTAACCAGAGCTACACAGGAATAAAACATGGACTGGTAAAAGTAATGCATGTATACCAGTGAAGTCATAAGCCACAGCAGCACCCACAATAGTGATAAATTGAAACCTCATTATTTGTAGCTACATGTACCCCGTTTAGTGCTCAATCTTCAAAGCTTAATATTCTGAAAGTCTACGCTCACACTCTCTATTTGCAGTGTCATTATTTCCCAAATTACATGACTCATAGCTCCTTTGACCTTGATAGGAGAACATGCACTGATGTACAGTAAGGGGGAAGAACTTAGAACTGAGGCTAACTTGTGTTTTGTGTTCAAATTCATTTGACGGATTTGACACTTTGTTGAGGCTCCTATTGTGTCTAAAACCGCAAGCAATAAACAGATTTCATCAGTTCCAACCCCCTCAAAAATCTGAATATTGAAATATTTTGGATGGGTTAGTTAACTTGCTTTCAAAGCCATTGCTGACACATTTGAGACTGGTATCGTTGACATTTTTGCTCAGATGAAGCAGCTTGCTGTCACTTGGATGACTTGCAGAGTAGTTACTTATCATCCTTAAAGGCCAAGAGCATGCTGCGCCGAGACCAAGCACTGCAATGTTGCTCATAGTTTTATGATTTATTATTTCAGGTTAGTCAAGTGAACAAAAGCATGCACATGTACTCAAAATCATACCCTCTTATGCAAGCCTGACTAAAGCCAGGATAGGATTTTTTTTGTTGCTTAAAAGT